CATTTCGGCTGCTCCAACGGCACATACCGATATGGGCGCCTTGCGCATCCTTGCGAGAGAGGGTACTGAAGACTGCGATCATTGCAGTACGAGGGGAATCGACCAGCTGGCGAGCTTTCTGGCTGAAATGAGATCGAGGATTGACTCGTCGATTGATCAGGTGAGACGTGCCGCCCCTCATTCCATTATCCTGTACTCACTGCCTTTGCGATCCAGGTGCCGTTGACGGTCAATTTTTGAATACCATATCGTACATACCTCGCGGTCAGAGGAATCAAAAGCGTTCCGTCATCACTTTGCGAGCACTGCGCTTCCTCTTGCATTGATTTACCTCGCCGTGTCAGACGCAGTGCCGGTGTAACTCGGACGTAGCCCAACATCCCGGGCTCGATTGTTCGTCCCAATGCATATTCGTGAGTACTCTTCACGCACGATGCAAGGCATATACCTACTTGCCTTGGATGATGATTGAAATATTGACCGTGCATTCATTCTTCATTTCCTGTAAATCCCTGCACCCGTCTGCCTGTGCTTCAAAAAATTTGGCTACACATGCTCACCATAGATCCCGACCCGGACTCGAACCGAGATCTCCACCAAAGGCTTATGTACTTGCGGCGCCTCGATGTGCCAGGGGCGCACTGATCTTTGTACTATCGGGTTTAATGGGTTGAGCATCAGCATTGGATATCGAGGAAATCCAGGGTACGACTAGCGGGAAAAAATAACGACCCATCCAGACCGGAAATTCAGCAACGGAGGGGGTTGAACGGACCTGAACATACCCCCCGCTGTCCATGTGTGGTTCGTAAAACACAAAATCACACTTGCACCTCATGGAAGTAACCCAGCCCGGACTCGAACCGAGATCTCTCACCCATTGCCGGCTTTCATGAGTCAGTGGGTGCGCTCATCTTTTGGCTATCGGGTTCATTGAATGGAGTATCAGTACTATTAGCGAGGTATTCGATGGCGAGGTTTGCGAGTTCCACGGGAAAAAAGTTGCGACCTACGGGTACTGGGATATACCAGACTCAGAATCGAACTGATGCCGGTCAACGCGTTGAAACTTCATCTCCCCTACTCCCTACTTCGAATGATGATGTTCATCACATTACTGGTCTGTGCCTTGTTCCTCCTGATAGAACCCGCGGTGAATTTCTTTCCCTTGCCACATGCGGAAAAGTTTCATGTTCAAGAGCGGAGGGAGTTCCTCTAAACGGGCCTGGGTATCCCAGCATCGTGTTGCCTTTGCATGCATTTCTGGCAAGAAGCAAAAGATGTAAACCAGGACCCCATGACCCGACCCGGATTCGAACCGAGATCGTCACCAAAGGCTTTCCGCTTCTTCTATGAGCCAGTGGGCGCACTAACCTTTTTGCTTCTTCTCGAGCGCAGCGGCCGTCTCTGGCTGAGGAGGAGGCAGCCGCGGTCTCGGAGTCAGGAGCCGGCTGCCCAAAGATCATATGTCGTGGCATCCGCTTGAGGACCCGGGGCAAGTGGTGAGGAGTGGGAGGGTGTTGCCGACGGCGCGGAGGTATTGACGGCGGTGCACAACGACGGGGTCGTAGAGGCACGAGGACGTCCCACAGCGTCAGATTGACGGCGCAGAGGGCCGGTATAATGAGGAAGAAATAAAGGCAAGAGGTCGTTGGGTGTCAACAGCCAGGTGCTCAAGCCATAGTCACATAGGCAGGCCTCAGTTCGAGTCTGAGTCACGTATGTATCCAGGGTTCCCAGATAAGTATTTTCCGCCACTGGTACTTGAAATTTTGTTGGAGGAGCAGGACTCTACACCCGCCTTTGCGGTCGTCGACGGAAGACAACCGCACGCAGACGAGTGAGGAAGCGTTGCCACCGACTCTGAGTATGATTGATATCGAGCGCGGGCGGAGAGGGGCAGGGTAATAAGGTCTGGGCCGGGAACATGGTCATGGATAAGGTGGGCTGGCTGATCGCAAGGGTATTTAGATGGGAAGGCGAGTCAGCGGCGAGCGCGCGGGAGACTGCCTCAGACTGGACTCTGGAGTGCGTCGAATCAGGTCATCCCGCCGGGCGGCGGAGGCGAGGGATGCGAGTGCTGGAGCGGCTGGGACCCTCCGTGTCGAAGTAAACTTCTCCCCTTCATGGCCTGGCGCAGGTAGTTTGTGGTGGTGGTCGGGAGCAAGCGGAGCTTGACGTGACACGGATCAGTGCTCACCATCAACTTTGGTCGCACCAAACAAACGCATGTTTTCTTCTTCCTTCATCCATCTCATTCAGAGCGCCGCCTCGCTGGCCGGCTTGAACAGCTCCCTCAGTGCGACCTATGGTTTTATCCTCACTGTCACACAAGATTCCACCATGATCTTCCTCAGCATTCTTCACTACATCTTCTCCTATAACGAGTCTTGCAATGACGCCGGCAATTGTCGGAGACCTTTCCACATTGTCTCGAGCTGCGTTCTGACGGTTTTGGGCGTCACTTGGATCTATTTGCACCCCAATGCTCCGCAAAGAGGCCAGACACGATCGGGCTATTCTGGCGAGGGCTCAAGATGATGGGGATTGCGATGGTCGCTCCGGAACTCGTGGCGGGATTCGCGGTCAGGCAGTTCAGAGATGCGCGGGAATTGTCGAAAGGTGCGTGTTCTAAGCGGGGTTCATTCCCCGATTTCTCAGTTCATGCCGTTAGAATACGGTTTCTCCATCAGCCACGGCTACCTTTTCGCCATGGGTGGACTCGTTGACCCGTCGGGATATGTTGTGGCCGCAAAGCAGCAGCTCAACGACCCGGCGATATTGCAAGCACTCTGTAAAGTCGACGCACTGGAGATCGAGGACAAGAGCAAACCCGCAGGACAGATAATATGCCTCACACTCTGGGCGATCGTTTGGCTCTGCAATCAACTCGCCGCTCGGAGGAGCCGCAATCTGCCAGCAACTGGGCTGGAGTATGCCACCCTTGCGTTTGCCGTCATGAATCTCGTCACTTGGCGGTATTGGCGATACAAGCCGCTGCGTGTCAACATACCAATTTGCACGGTGCTTTACCTGCAGCCAGGAAAGCCTGCCCGTTCGGCGGAACTCCCTTCACGGATTCATATCCTTACCGCCCTTGTGGGTAATCGTGTGGGTGACCATCGCTTCAGTCCATTCCGGCTTGCCTCCGTCCCTGAATTCTGGTCCACCGGCATCTTCCCGCTCAGCGACTTCGGGGCGTTCGACTTCTTCCTCGTGGCTTTGCCCAGTATCGTATTCGGCACGATTCACTGCGCTGCGTGGAACGCCGTCGACTTGCCCACTGCCGCTGAGATGTGGCTGTGGAAGGTGTCCTCGTTGTCGCTTGTTTCGGTGCCCCTCATCGCATGGTCCATGATCCTCTTCGTACGGCGAGCTGGAGCTGTCCCTGCCTTCATCCTTTGGCCGTTGATTGCTACGTATATTCTGGCCCGTCTGGTCCTCATCGGACTTTGCTTCGCTCAACCGTCGGCATCTATCTTTGTCGATGTAGATGTTTTTATCCCCCACCCGTTGAGCTTGATACGTTGAGATGGATATTCGGCCATTAGTAATATAGTTCTCATCGGTATCTTGGACTTTCTTGGAAGCACCACAATCTATTGCATCATTTTGTTACGGGTTGCGTGGAGACGAAGGTTCGACATGAGAAGAGGGATGCTCAGGTCTGCACGATATCACAAACACCGTGACTGTCTCCCCGCTGTGATGTTCCAAGACCCAACGTCTTGTGCAATTCAGGAAAAAGAAAGACCTTAGTTTGAGACCTTGGACCACCCGACCCGGACTCGAACCGAGATCCCCCACCAAAGGTATAGCTTCCGGGCCCTTTACGAGCCAGGGGCGCACTCATCGTTGTGCTATCGGGTTGCATGCACTCGCGGTCGGGACCCAGTAGCTCGATATACTCCGAGTCCAAGTTAGGGTTGGCAGGGAAAAAATATCGAATTGCATGTATTGCAAATTGTAATGGACTTGACTCAGACTCGAACTGAGTTGGAAACCACCTTCCCCTGCTTTGAGGAGTGCCTGGTGGCTGATGGATGGTACTAAGTTCAAAGGACTTGATTATATTCATCTTCAATGTCAAGTAAAAAGTCGCCCTCCCTGTGCTGGCTTTCCAGCCATTTTCCCAAAAGATTTGATTGTCATACCTGGCGTACTAATGGAACCCAACCCGGACTCGAACCGAGATCTCCCACTAAAGGCTTTTCCTTTCTCCTCTTTGTAAGTATGAGCTAGGGACAGACTCATCTTTGTGCTATCGGGTCCAATGAACTGAGCATCAGTTGCTGGGTACGTAGCATGGTATTAAGAGGAGATTCATGAGTTATGGAAAAAGATTTGTAACAGACCCAACTCAGAATCAAACTGACGCCCGTCTACGCGTTCAAGAGCTTCATGCCCATTTTGCAATTGAGCTCCCGTCCCTTGCTTTGGGATGTGCATCGCGCTATTGATAGTGTTCACAAGGATGCTGGATAGTACTTTCAATCTTCATCTCCTTATAACACAGGTTCTCGCTCCTCCTGCGCTGGCTGCTCGTGTGTGAATCGAACAAAAGAATCTCGAGTGCTGAAACTGCAAATAACCCTACCCGGACTCGAACCGGGATCTCCCCTCAAGGCTTCCGTGCTTGAAATTGTATGAGCCAGGGACACACTCATCTTGTGCTATCAGGGTCAATGAACTGGGCATCGGTTGCTCATGCTAAGATATCCATGAGTTTCACTGGCTGGGAAAAATCATATGTCTTCATGTCGCTACAGTATATACGAGACTCGAACTGATGCCAGATTAAGCGTTTGATATCATAGCTCATACACAGTCCGGGTCCCTTAATTTCCTTACCCGTGCAGAATCCATGTTGAATTTCTGGAACCCTTTGCTACAGGAATGCTTCGGGCCATGCTCATCTCTTCATCGAGTCGAACGGGCTTGATTGTTCTGCCCATGTGGGATTCCAAAAAAAAAAAAGGCTCTGTGCTCCTCTTACCGAATAACCCGACCCGGACTCGAACCGGGATCTCCCACTCAAAGTGAAACTGGCCAGATGATGTAGGGGTGCACTCATCTTTGTGCTATCGGGGTCAATGTGTTGACGCACAGGAGTGCGTGTATAAATACGATCTGTTGATATTAGAAACAGGGGTCTTCCCGGGTTGTCCAAAGCCACCATCTAAAGTCGACAAGCGTCCTGCGTCAACACAATGGACTGAGCATCAGTAAGTAGCTGGATACCGAGGAGACTCATGGCTTTCAGTGGCGGGGAAAAACATGGGACTTGCCACCGTAACCACTAACAGACTTGACTCAGAATCGAACTGTCGGCGTTAAAAAAAAAAAATCTCCCTCCCCTACCATGGGAAGTACCTGCAGGTTGCGGTATGTTCATAAGGATCCATCACCCTGGCTGGATCCTTTCAAAGGACTTGCTTTCTTCATCTTTTTATAATACACACGTGCGGTCTCGCTCGTCCCGCATTCCTTGCGCTCCCTGGGCCTGTCCATGTGATTCTCAAAAATATCTTCCATTTTGTCTTATGGGACCCAACCCGGACTCGAACCGAGATCTCCCACCAAAGGCTTCGAAGTTCCTTTCCCAGCTTTTACGAGCTGGTGGGTGCATTCATCTTTTTGCTATCGGTCCAGTGTCAAGCACAGGTGAAGGGATCTACTCTGGGTACATACTTTACACACGGTACCATCCGGGAAAAAATGCGTCCGACTGGATCTGGTCCCATAGGCCCGACTCGGACTCGAACTGAGATGCGCGGCTTCCAATTCTACCTCCCACCAACCAATTCGAATTCGATGTCCAATACACTCAACAGGTACATACCAGTCGGCCACGTAGGTAGATATTTGAATGGCAAGAAAATTGCCACCGCGAACTGGACAGACAAATAGCGGGGGCCGTCGCCTTTAACATGCCCGACTCAGGACGCACTCTTCAACAGAGACTCTCATACTACTACTACATACAACAACGCAATCCTAGCCGTATTCGTATTTTCTTCCTTCCAATCGCTCAAGGCAAACGCAAAACCACATCCATAAACTGCACATAATCAATCTGAACCCATCCATCCCGATCGGAATCAACGCGCTGGAACGCCTCGGACGCCTGGCGCGCAGCGACACACGCGCGGATGAAGACGTCAAAGGTGATTTGAAGGGGGGCGGCAGCGTGGCCGGGCATCGGAGGAGCACCGCGGAAACCTGGGGCAGAGCGGGCGGGGGCGGGGGCACCTGTAGGTGGCATGGTGAGTGAGGCCGAAGAAACAACAGGAAATGGAGACTCACCGTATTTCCGCATCAAAAGCTGTACCAACTGCGGATTCAGATTAAACCCAAACTGGCGGAGGGCGTTGCCAAGCTCGTGTTCGTCGATGGTGCCGTCGCCGCTGTGATCAGCACGGCGGAAGACGTCCTGCCATTGTTGGATGTATTTGAAGAGGCCGGCAAACTGCGATGGCGTTAGCATACAAGGTAGTGAGGGGTAGAGCAGCACACGCACTTCCTCGAAGCCAATAGTCCCACTGCGGTCCGTGTCAAACATGTTCATAAGCATCTGGACCGTGCCCGTGTCGAAACCTGAATAGAGCGCCACGATCTGATGAGCGTGCGCAGGAGATGGAGGGGATGCAACGTACGAGTCCAGTCACCATTGGCGAGGGCGGTTTCTACAACGCGCAGGTCAGCGGGAGACGGATAGCCTGAGAGAAGAACACGCACCGAGCTCTGCGACAGAGACGTGGCCCGAGTGATCTTGGTCGACGGCGCTGAACCACTGCCAAAGCCTATCGCAGTCCATCGTTCAGATATACGTGAGAGAGAAGAAGAAGGGAGAGGAGACGAACATGGGGTCTGCACCGGGAGGAGGACCCTGGGGCCGAGCTGCAAAGCCACCGGGACCAGGTGGTGCACCGTAGCCATGGCCTCCAGGAGGAGGGTAGCCGCCTTGAGGAGGGTAGCCACCTGTCAGATCGCACACGATCGGGGTGAGTGCTTGACTTGCAGAAAGGATTCAAGGGAGACGCGAACCTGGAGCGTGGCCAGGCGGCGGGCCTGCGGGTGCACCGTAGCCTCCAGGACGACCAGGAGGAGGAGGGCCAGAGGGTGCGCCGTAGTGATGTTGTTGCTGACCGGGGTAGGACATGGATTTTGGATGGTGGAGGACAAGAGAGCGTGATTGCCTTTTTGAGGAGCGGCGCGAACACAGCCATCCTTGGCGCACAGCCTGTTGATTGATTTCTGATGCATGGCCTCGCACAGGTTCGGCGCTATTTAGCAGGAGTAACTGTACTCGGGTTGGAGCATGATCATCGCCTTGGAAAAAAACCGCCGGAGATTTTTCATGGCAAGCCGCAAAACCCGAACGAGCCGAGAACGAGCCGAGATCATGATCAGAATCAGGAGACGTTCAATTCAAAGTTGGGAAGAGCATAGAAAAACCTGATTGGAAGTGGTTCACGATATTTGTGACGACCGACAAAGCACCAGTCTCCGGTTCAACTCCGGGTCAGGTCTTGACGTCTTGTGGGCATTCCCTGCTTTTTTCAGCTGTGGGCTTTCGGAATGAAGCTACCAGTCTTCGACCATTCACTCAATCCAGGCAGGCTTGCCTGTACATACGGGTAGCCAACGATGGGTCGCGCTGCACTAGACCCGCTAGATATCATGCCGGTTCGACTCCGGCTCGACTCTTCCCCACGGACCACGAAACGCTCTGTTTTCGGTTCATTTCACCGGTGTCGCGCGAAGCGTGTCGTAAGCGCGGATTGAAGCTGCAAATAACGTTTCTCTCTCATCAACGACCATGGGACTTGCTTCAGGATGGAAAACCTGATTGCCCGGTACACGACGTTTCCTCTGACAACAACCGAAAACCGCCACAGTCTCCGGTTCAACTCCGGGTGCAGGTCTTGCCAGAACTCCGACTCGGAACTCCTGAATTTTTCAGTCGTGGTCCGTGCATGGAGTGGAACTGGAGGCTTGTCTGCCACACACAACTGGAATTAGCAACTAATACCGATGAACACTACAGAATCTACATAGATCTACAAGACGTGCCTACGCTTCGCTCCGGCAGTATTGCATTGACACTGCGCTATTCATAATTCAACCCCAGACCACTTTTCTTCTACTCACTTCAAATATATAACGGGATACATTGCAATTGGTCTAGTACATCAACCCCGACACCAAGGAGTGGTACATGGATCCGAGATCATCCCAGTGCGCAACATCTTACCCTGCGTCTTCTCAGCTCTCCCGCATTTGTTGGGCGCCATCCGACGATGATGATACGCATGCCGCGTGGTCAACCAGCTCAGAAACTCTGGTGCCTGACGCAACGTCAGTAAGGGCGCGGGCGGAGGTGGCAAATCACTCACCTCGGCCCCCACCTCCGCGCAGGATCAAGCTGTCTCTCCCTGCCGACGCGAGAGTGGACGGGCTCGGCTCTAGGAGTGATCATGACTCGTACCTATCGGCAGTGTTGTATGCGGGAGCAAATGGGGGAGATGATAGTGACAGAGAGTGCAATGAAGCGGAGCAGCTCGGAAATCGCAGGGGAGATCGCACCGTGCTGTTCATGGAAATGCCCAATAATACTGACGGCAAACTGGTAAATGTAGTCAACCGATTGCGAAGGAGTCTGAGTCGAAAGGACACCCCACGCACCGTTGCATCCCGGTTCCATATATCCCGTCGAGTCTCCCACGCTGAGTGTTGCGGCAAGGCTCAGCTGAGCGTCTGAATGCAGGCATGTAGAGACTCAGGCAGTGTATTGGGACCGGCACGTGCAGACAACATGAGGAGGGCGACATTTCTGCGTGGTTCGACGAAATTGATGTGGCATTGGACAGTGACCGGGGTCGAAATTCTCGACTTCAACCAGTGAGACGATGAGTGGAGGGACGATCCACAGTTGTAGTTGACTCGAAGCCAGTTTGAGTACCAAGACGCGACAGATGGTCCAGCCCAGTCAGAAAGTTAGGTCGAATAGAAGAGCGTGGTTCACCGAGTACCAAGAAGCCGGCTCGAAGAGATATGAGACAACGCTTGAAGGGTATCCCAGACAGTGCATTTGATGAATTTTGAGCAGTGGCAGTAATGAATAGCAGGTAAGGGTAACGGATGAGGGGAAATGGGTACGGGAAGATGGCAATCCAGGGTTATATGAGCCTGCAATGCCGGGCGACGCGTCATCTTCCGGCCAATAGTTGCTCCACTATTTTTCCGCGTTCTCAGCTGTATATCGAAAGCTGACGTGTCGGTGGAGCAAGCAGAGGCAGCCAATTTCGGAATAATTGCAGCCGGAGGTTTACAGCGATGCCAAGGGTCCCGGCGTGCATACGTCGCCTCAAGCCGGCGCTGAATGAACTGGAAAGGCACTTGAAAGCTGTTGAACCGTGGCATCGAATCGGACACAGAGTGGGGCTTACACGGCCTTCCTGGGAAGAAATGATGGGAAAGCTGTTGAGAAAGGACTGCGCTGGCGGCAAGGTGAGGGAGGAAGACAAAAAGAGCTTGCACAAATGGGGAAGCATAATCAGTGATGGAGCCATAATCTTAAAGAACGGATAATCATGCCGGTTCGACTCCGGATCGGATCCTTGTAGAAGTTCTGCAAAGCCTTTTGTAGTTCATTTCTCCTGGTCTCGCAAAACATCCATTGATTGACCAGCAGCAGTGCTATCCTAATCCTAGCGCGGATTGAAGCTGCCGAGCGATGCCGATGTGGTATCAATGTTTTCATCACGGCATGGTGGTTGCGGCAGTTTGCAAGCTGATGTGATGCTTGTGACACATCCCTCTTCTCATCGACGACCATCCTGAATCATCTTGCTGTCGACTCCCGCCCTGGAAAGCTCTACGTCGATTCCTGCTCGCGATTGGTCTTTCAAAGCTCATCCGACCCCGTGTTCAACCCATGGAATTCTGCAGATTTAGGTACACCACTGGGAAGAAGACAGGCTAAAGAGTTGAAAAAGGATCGATAATCTATCAGTTGCGCAGTACTTTGTGAGAGGATACATACAAGGAAAACGCCAAAAGGTATTGCACGCGTACGAAGTGGAGGA